ACAAACACACACATAACGTGAGTGGGGGAGGGGCAGAGAGAGAGGGAGACACAGAATCCGAAGCAGGCTCCAGGCTCTGACCTGTCAGCATAGAACCCGATGTGGGGATTGAACTCATGAACCATGAGATCATGACCTGAGCTGAAGTCAGACACTTAACTGACTCGGCCACCCAGGTGGCCCTCTCCAACAGGATTTTTAAAAAAACCTTTTATTACAGAATAATTTAAACATATACTAAATCAAAATAATGCACTAATAATCCCCCATGCACTCAACACCAAGCTTTGACAACGATCAATTTATAGCCAATTTTGTTTTCATTTAGATCACTTCCCTCCGTGACTATTTCAATACTAATTATCATTTGGTTCATAAATGCCTCAAACTGCAATCTTTAAAATATAATACTTTTAAAAAGTAGTAACCGTATTGTCGTTGTCATACCTAAACAATGAACTCTTATTCCTTAAAGAAATACATATGTGTATACACGTATGTTTAATTACTTTCCAATCAGTTCGATTAGGGTTCGAAGTCTTCATGTTTTCCAGGCTTTGCTATGTTTCTCCAGTCTATTAATTTAGCCCTGCCTCCAGCCCTATTTAAGAGCAGTTCAATCCAAAAGTTCTTTTTATTTTTTAATTTTTTTAGCGTTTATTTATTTTTTAAAGAGAGACAGAGCTTGAGCATGGGAGGGGCAAGGAGAGAGGAAGACAGAATGTGAAGCATGCTCCAGGCTCTGAGCTGTCAGCACAGAGCCTGACTCGGGGCTTGAACTCATGAACTATGAGATCATGACCTGAGCTGAAGTCGGACACTTAACCGACTGAGCCACTCAGGTGCCCCTCGGCACCACAGTTCTTGAAGCCACTTCTGACTGGCACGTGTTACAAGGCTGGGTTAATATACCAAAACATACCTATTGTGTCCCTTTCAGATCAGCCCAAGCTCTAAGTTCAAAGCAGTTCACCTCAGGCCATGATGGACACCAATTGCTTACTTCCTAGGCTTCACAAGAGCTGCTCCATTTGGCCCCTTTTATGAAGTCTTAGGCATTTGTTTAGCTCACAGTTTACTTCTCTGAACCTTTGGAAAAGATTCCAGAGCTAGAACCAACATGTATGGAGTAAGGCTGACAATATCTTGCCTTCCCTTGTATTTATAGGGTTACCATGATGATTAATTTAATCCTATCATTTATTGAGTTCTTACCAAAGAGCGATACTATCACTGAGTGATACACAAGATCCAGAAAGGTAAATCTGTTTTTATCAATGAAGGGAGGGGGAGAGAGGTTAGAGAGGGTTCAGCCGACTCTAGCAAGGGAGGTCCCAGGTCCAGGGGTGTCTATGTGTTGGGGGGAGAGGAGGGGACAGGGGCCACCTACAAAAGCCTCCCTGCTGAGGACACTCTGGATTCCAGAGGATCAAGTGGCTTTGACTGTGAATGCATCACTGAGACCTCATTGTCTGGCCCCAGAGAGAAAGAGAGAAGGGCCAGGAATAAGTATATGCAGGAGTCTGTAGATGGAAATCTTCTTAGCATCAGGACAGCAGGGAAGCTATCCATCAGGGGCTTTGTTAGTTGACAACTACCTCCCAGGCACGTTTAACAGGTGGCTAAGGAAATAAACCATTCATTAAGTAAATAACCAGGAAGGCAACCACCATCCCCAGGATGGTCCACTGCCTGGCATGTCTATCACTTTCATTGAGGTGCTAATACTCTCAGAAGTCCCTTGCTGGGATGGTTTTAGCTCAGCACTAGAATTTTCATTGGTCAGAATGGCCTGGCCTTCCTGCTTCCTCCGGTGGGAAGAGAGGGTCTACAAGACTGGATCAGTGACCTTTACAAATCAAAGCACTAGAGCACAGCGAAATTCAGAATAATAGTTCGATAGGGAGTCTGCATGAGAACAACCACTTAGGCAAAAATGAGACTCCACCTTTGCTAACTAATTAGGGCTCACCTGTCTGCATTTTCTGCTCAGGTCTTTGGAAATTTAACTTAACCTGATAACTTCATCCTGTTCCCTTTCCTTCTTCATCCTCCCCACCCCCACTCCCCAACCTCAGTCAACTCCTCTTTTTAGCCAAGGGGTTTTCCAGTCTCGACAATGCTACTTTCTGCCCCTCCACACAGTTTAGAGTTTGGTAACAATTAAGAGCTGTCTTCACATTCCACACCTCCATCCCCCAAAACACACACTCCACAGGCTTGCATACTCAAATAACCCGCCCACATAGGGTCCAGACTCTTCCCTCCCACTCAAGACGTTAATGGGGGAAGGAAGTTCCCACCATTCCTCGCCAAAAGCCTTTGAGTAAAAGTTCTTTGACAGGACAGAAGAATTTCGATTTTTCTTTCCTTTTTAATCCTATTCAAAACCATTCATTAACAGAAAACAAATTAGTTCATCCATAATTCTTTCCAACAAATTAAGCTGTTTACCAATTTCCTTCCATACACTCTCCCAAATATATATTATTTTAACCCCATTTACTATCATAAGCCCTCATCCTTCCCTGTTCCTTATCACCAGATGGGGATTGCGGATTTCTGCATATTATTCTATATGTTAATATATCACCATTTACATAACAATTACTCTACTATTGAACATTTAGGTTGTTTGTGATTTTTCATTAATAGGGATGGTTCCATTGTAAAAACCTTCCTGCGCAAACCTTGTCCTTCTGGACCATTTTCTGAAGACAAATTTCCAGAAGAGTATTACTGAGTAATCAAAAGTTATGATCATTGTAATAGCCAATAATAGTGTTAAATACTTTTTCAAAAAGATGATTGTATCTTGATTGAGCATGTGTATATTTTCTCAAATGTATTTTTCAGTTTTATTTCAAAAACAATCAGTACATTTTGGAAGTGACCAAAAAGAATCCATAAGTATGAGATAAGTGTGAGGTCCATGGACTTTAGAGAGTCCCACCATCTCACCACCCCCCCCCCGACTTTACCCCCCACACTATCCGCTCATTGGGGTAGCAGAAGATAGATGGTTTACCCAACTGATTCCGAGAGGCCCTCATAATTTGGACTCTCGAAACAAGAGCCTGTTCATTATTCACTTCCTAATCCCAGTGAGCGAGTCCTTCCCCCTGGCTTCCCTATTCCCCAAAGCCAAATTTCCTTCCCTCTCCCAGCCTAACACACCCTATATTTCCTTCCACCTCTAAGCAGCTTTCCCTGCATTAGTCCTAATGTCTTCTGCTTCCCTTCAATACACACTAAGATCCAGGAGAAAGGGATATGAAGGTGTTGAGGATTATTTCCTGCACCAAAGGGTCTATGTTTGCAAGGGAGATGTGCACGCATACAATCACTGTATTGTGTGATGAATGCAAATTTACTTCTTTTTTTCTGTTACTTATCACACTTATTATAACATAATAAGGTGGTCTTCCACCCTATTACATACATTTTGCATTTAACTCATCCCACCCACCAGATAGGGATTCCCAAGCTTTTGTGTATGTAAAAATCACTCAGAGAATTTGCAAATCCCAGAGGCTCATTCCCAGACAGTGGGTTGGGTGGTTCTCTGGCTCCTCAACCTTCTCATGTGGTCCAGGGGCCAACAGCATCAGCCTCCCCAGGAAGCTTGATAGAAATGCAGAATCTTAGGTTGTCCCAGCCCTGAATGAGAATCTGCATCTTTCCAAGATCCCCAGATAGTCAACACCCACATTAAAATCTGAGAGTGAGAGTCTAACTCAATGCTTCTCCAAGGGGACGAAGATCCACAGTAGGAAATATATTTTATATTTGAGACTCAGTATACCACACATCTCCACTTGTAATCAAACTTCACCAAACAATACTTGAGATTCACATCAATATTTTCTATTCTACTCTATTCTAATTCTTTTTTTTCTTTAAAGATGGTCTAAACCACTAAATTGATTTCCCACATTAAGATACTGCAACCCCTACTTGAAAAACACTGCTCTAAGAGCTTTGATGGAGTCATCAGCTGTGTTAGCCTGAGCAGAGATGAATCAGAAACTGGCTCACCTAGGGAAGAAGTTGCATCCATGTATTTGGCCTTTATTTACTTTTTCCTCTGAGAGGAGGTGATGGGGAAAAAGAAAAGGTTTCCTTGTGAATATTAGTAGCCTCAGCAGCTGTGGAAAGATAAGGGCATTTTCCTTTCGCTGGGTAGTGTCCCCCTGGTTAGAGACATCCTCAGTTTAGTCTCCCCTGCAGTAGCCTCTGCGAAGGGGGTGCCCCGCAAGTCAGCGGGGATGCTGCAGGAGGGTGTGGTTCATGTGCCAAGTCTTTCTACTAGAAGAGCCTCACTGGGAAAGGCAAAGGTGTGCTGGGAAAGGCAAAGGTGTGCACTCACCTTCAGAGGGCCCAGGCACCGGCTTCCCCTGCTCTGTGACCTGAAGGCTCATGGGAATGTCCAAAAACTTTTCATAGCAGTCTCCATACCACACAAGGAGCTCTTGGTTCTGGCAGATATCCTTGCAGCTCTCGTAAAATATCTGCCCCTGACACTGCACCGCAACCAGGTTCTGCTCCTTGGGGAAACGGGCGCAGTTGACGTAGGCCATCCAGTTCCCCGCACCTCCTTTTCCATCTATGAAGTGGCTCAAATGACCATCTTCGAAGATCTAAAAAAAATGAAACGTAAAGTTTAAAATGCGCTTTTTCTTTGTGCCTAACCTATAAAATTACTTATTAAAATTTATAGTCCAAATCTCATGCTTGAGTCCACTGAATATACTTATTATTAACATTATTAAGCCCAAATAGATGTATTAGCTTATCTCTATCGGTGCTGTGACATTCTTAAAGGTTCTTACTTTTATCACTTTAATTTCCAAATTTCTATAGTATCTTAATTCCATAAGCAGAGAAAAGGGGAACTAGAGAAGTTTGCATTTAATTCCCAACTTAAAGACAACCAATTAGTTTTGTGCTTTTTCCCAACCTGGTTGTCATGCATGTAATTCTTTCTCTGCTGTTGGCAATTCCACAGTCTCCAACGTTTTGTTATTATCAGCAACCTTGTGATTAACATCTTCCACAGGGTCTGAATTTCAGATTACACTCCTGCCCTATATTCCTAGAAGTAGGAATTCAGGGTCAAGGGGAGGTACCTGATATATTCTAACTGGAGTCTGACCAGCATGCCCCAAACACAGTCAAGAGTATCAGTTTTTAAAAACCCATAGCTAATTTCATAGGCAGATGATATCAAATTTAAAAATTTGTTTTTATTCTCTTTGGCATATTCTCAGCAGCACTGTATAACATTTAAACCATTTGGTTTTGCCCATAAACAAAGATAAATATTAACTGTTCAATATGTATATTCCATTGATAATCTTCACAGATTAAAACGATTTAAGGCATCAGGAAACACAAAGAATTCACTTAGAGGTGCTATCTTAATGGAGTGAATATCTGCCTTTCCTTCTCTCTCTTTTTTTTAAGTTTATTTATTTATTTTGAGAGAGAGAGAGAGAGAGAGAGAAAGTGAGAACATGAGCTGCGGAGGGGTAGAGAGAGGGGGCAGAGGATCTGAAGCAGGCTCTGCACCGATGCAGGGGCTTGAACCCACAAACCGTGAAATCATGACCTGAGCGGAAGTCAGAAGCTCAACCAACTGAGCCACCCAGGTGCCCCTCTTCCCTTCTCTTTATACTGTAAAACAGGCAGCACAGAAGCAGAGTGACCCCCTCCCAGGGGGCCAGAAGCCGACACTGTTCTCCACTGGCTTCATTTCCCACTTTGTCAACCCACCAGAAGCATATTTATTTACCTCCCACATCAGAGAATTGTCTCCATAGGTCTTGACTTCACTGGCGTTGACCACTTTACCTTGAAAGGGTCCAAATCTGACTCCTTTGGCAACAAGGCTACTGCAGAATACACCAAAATGCCGCACCTCACCAAACATCGTCTGCTTGAGGCAGAGACCTAGGGGAAAAGCCCGAGGCAGGAAAGCCAATGAGGCAACTGACTGCATTACATCCGGACAGAAATCCAAGCCAGAGGCCCTGCTTACCTTCTGGTAGTTGAAGGGAGTCTTTATCCAGAGTTCGACAAAGAGAATCAGATCCTAGAAAAGGGGTTAAGATTTTATTTTTCATAAGGTGTTTCCCTCCCTGCTTCTTAGAGGTAACCATTATCCTTAGTTTAATGTTGATTTATCCTTTATATTTTTCCTGCTCCTTTTACACATAAAATTTCTCCTTTGAGACTCAGAACAGCCCCTGCAAGGTTATGTAATTAACCCCGTTTTGCAAATTTAAAGAACTTGAGAAGCAGAGATAATGCTGATTTTGAATAAGGTGGAGATAGATGGCTAAACTGGGACTCCCAGTATGAATTGCGTGAGGCTCTAGTGGAGCTACCTTGCATTATCCCGGTAGAATCTGATCCCAGCTGACATCCACTATGTCAGCCATGTCTCTCTTCTCCCTCCTCCACTAAAGCCAACCTTAGGAATCAAGCATTAAAGCAAGTGCAGCCTCAGAAGTGAGGGCTCCATCCTGATGGGAAATATCTACACTTCCCAGCTGGACTTGAGCCGTCTCAGATCCACCTTGAAGTGCTCCTTCCCCACTCCTCCCACCTCTATTCCCATCCAACCCGACTCCTGCCCGACGTGACCACCTTTACCAGAGCTGTCCGTGGGGACCAGGAAACCGGAAACCGCGTGGTGCAGAGGGGCTGAGTGATCCAGGCTGGGAATGACCCCGAACAGAACTAAGTGCAGGTCCTCCTGGGTGAAGTGGTAGCGGTGAGATGACTTCCCTTGTTGGTTCAGGGGTTTGGAGCCCTCCTCAGACCGCTTGCTGGGGGAGCAAGATAATAACTGGGAGGCCTTCACCCCCTCAGGGAACAGGGAAGCATTCACAGCCGGCGGCGGCATTAAAGTTTCAGGTCCACAGCACTGGCCAGTGTCACTTCGGCTACCAGTATGGCCCAAGTCTTCACCGGTGGCGCCTGCATACTCGCGGCTGCTGTTGAGGAAGTGCGGCACCTCTCTGGGGAGGTGGGGAATTGGGGACCACGGTGGCAGCTTGCTGTAGCACGGCAGGTCGTAGAGCGGCTCCCTCTGCAGAGCCAGGCTGGTGCTCAGCAAGAGAGGCGCGGGCCGGAAGGCAAAGGGGGGCATCGCGTGGGATGCAGTCACGGCGGCCTCCAGCTGCGGGAAAGGTTGGAAATCTTCCTCCGCAGCGGTTAGCATGTTCGCATAGTGGCCATAGGGCGGGAAAGGCGTGTAGTAGGCGTCCAGGTGTTGGGGGCCTCCCTGGAGCCTCTCAGGAGGATAGCACATCTTGCCCTGGGGTCCGGCCTCACCTGGCCGCCGCAGAGCCATCCTGGGGGCACAGCGCGCGGCGGGTCTGCGGGAAAGCAAGCGCAGCCGAGTGAGGTGCGCAGGGCGCTGCGACCCTGCTCCTTCCTGCCTACCCTCGATCATCCGAGCTAGCCCCGGGTCGAAGGGAATCGCCTAAACCTCCCAACTCGATCTCGCAAGCCCTACCCCACAAACAAAACAAAACAAAACAAAACCGCAATGCAAACAAACACACAAAACCCCAAACGAAAATCTTCCGGGATCTTGCTCCACTCCAAGTTCCCGGTAAGAGTCGCTTTTGCCTTCCCTCTCCAAACGCACCCCGACCAAGCACAGATGGTTTCCAACAACCTAGTCTCTACATCTCGCCCCAAACCCGGCTCCTGCAAATTTCAAGTTCCCTCTTCCGCCTTCTTCTCTGTCCAACGAAAGTCTTTTACAGGGTGGGTTGGAGCCCCCAGACCCTCCCACTCCCGGGGCCGCGGCCCGAGCGCAAGGCCGTGGTGCGCTTTGGGGCAGGCGCGCAGAGCGCTCCTGGGTCCCCAGCAGTCAGGGAATAGTCAAGGGCCCCCAGCCCGTTAGCGCAGAAACAGACGAGCTCCCCAAACCCGGACGCAGGTCGGCGAGGCCGTCGCTCCACGATTCTCGGCGCTGACCCCTCGGACCCAGGAGCCCGGGCTGCCGAGGAGGAGGGCGCCACCTTCGGCTCCCCTCCGAGCTCCGCAGCCGGCGCCGGGTTTGCCACATGGCCGAGTCCCGCCACATTCCCCAAGTCCCTGTGGGAACTCTGGTCACTCCACCTGCGGGTTTAGGGGAACCTGGGTCGAGTCCCAGGCCAAGTGGGAGAGAAGCCTCGGCAGCTACCGCTCCCACCCCGAAAGGATGGAGTTTTAATGGACACAAGTTCACCAAGGCCGAGGAATGGAGCCCCTTCAGGGCCGGCGGGGCTCGAGGGCAAGATCAATGAGCCCAATAAGGAAACCCAGCAGGGTCGTGACTCCGAAATTAAAGAACACGGGGTCAGGAGAAGAGGTCAGCCACGACGAGGGCATCTGCCTGTCTCCTCCTAAGCCCCCGAAGGCGCTCGGCTCTTGGCCTCCCCTGACCGCGAGGATATGCCACTCGAGGGTTGAAAGCCACTTAAGGAGTGAAAGCCCCAAGAGGGCAAAAAGGCCACCCAAGACGAGCTGCGCTCGCGCCCGCTTCCTGCGCTCCCCAGCCGCCCCGGCGGACGACGGCCCCGGGCCACCGCGGCGCCCCAGCCCGGCACCCACCTTCGAGAGCGCCGCCTCCAGTCGCGCGCCTCCAGGACCCTGAGGGCGGCGCAGGCTCCGCACTGGTAGGCGACGGGCGGGCCGGGAGGGTCGAGCGGGGTTTAAGAGGGCGGCGGGCGGGCGGGGCCGCGGGGCATGGAGAGGGCGAGGGTGGGGAAGGGACGCGGCCCACGCAGGTCTCCGGCTGGTCTCGGGCGGGTCTCCTCCCCGCCCACCGCAGCCATTGGCCGAGGCTCCACTAGCCCTCCAGTCCCCTGGGGTCGCGTGTTTAACTCCTCAGGTCTCCAACTCCTCCCGGGACCCTGCCAGAGCGCTCGCCCTCCGCTCTGCCGCTGGCACTATTGCCCCTCCAGGCTTGCCGGGAGGGGGAGCAAAAAGCCTGGGCAGGAGTTGCCGAGGGTCCCAGATAAGCCCCCGGGTGCACACGCCAACCCCGAGCTCGCCCGGTAAGGCTGCGACCCGCGTCCCGGGGTCTCTCCTCTGCCTGTCGGCTTTGAGCTCTCAAGAACTGCTCCCGGCCGAAGACGGCGTCAAGCCCCGAGGACCAAGGGGCCTTTTACCCCTGATACCTCGTGGGGAGCCTAGCACCGCCCTAAGGGCTGGGAAGCGGCGCCTCGCGGATCCCGGGTGGGTGCAGCTGGACGCGGGGGGCTCGGCGTCCGGGACGCCTCCGAATTGCCCGGGGGGGGGGGTCGTTTAGCCCTCTTTGGGGAGTTTATTTCTCCAGTAACTTCGGATGTGGGAGCTCCGGCCCCCCGCTCCGCCACGGCTGCCCCCGCGGAAGGCTCGCGACCTCGGATGCCCCGGTCCCTGGAAAGCAAGGTCCAGACCCATACCTGGCGCTCAAAGACCGCACCTTTCTTCTCGGGGCCGGCCATTGAGGGAAAGAAAGGAGCATTTAGGCCCATTCACATTCACATGGAAGCATCTAGGGTGGGAGAGAAACCCTTGTAATGCCCGGTGATCTTGGCCAGGTTCCCCGCCACTCCGGCCCGCTGCTCCTCTGCAAAATGGGGCGTATACCCTCCCGCCGGGGCTGGCCTTGGGTGGGTTACTGAAGGGGGAGGGCAGGAAAGGAGGAAACGTCTAGCCGGCCACGAGACGCCGCGACAGGTCCCAAAGCTGGCGGAGGAGAGTGACCTGTGGCCGAGCGCGTAGATTCCTCCGTGACCGCCCCGACCTTCGCGAGCAGCCGCAGCGGGGCGGGCGTCTTTGCAGCCTGCACGAGCCATGCGGCGGGAGGGAAGGCAGGCGCGGGACCCCGCGGCCTTCGTGGGCCCCGCCGGCTGCCGCGCCCACGTGCGGGGTGGGCTCACGGCGCAGCGCTCGGCGAGGCCCGCTCTGCCCGGGTGCAGACCGGTTTGCAGGCGCACGGGGATCCGAGATGAGAGAGCGGTACTTGGGCCTCCCTGATGGGATGGCTAGGAGCTCAGGGTTCCCTTCTCTCCTCGTGCTGCCTCAATACTCCGGTTCTTAAGAGAGCTTGGCTACCAGTCTGAGCAAGTGAAGAGTGCCCGACGAATCTTTTCTCAAGGGACAGCAAGCAGCTCCAGGGAGGAACTTGCACTTGGAAAAGCCGAGTGAGTCCTGCTGCCGGCTTCCTTCGGGAGGCATGCCAGCCCCAGGACTCCACTCCCCACTTGTGTTACTCCATCTTCCTCGTCCCAGACGTCACCTGTAGGATTTAAAGACGGGCGCCGACACTTGGGTGGTCTGGGGATGGCAGGTCCTCGGGAGGCCATTTTCCAGTGCAGCCCCTCACCGGTTGTAGCTTTATTTCAGCAGAAGCAACATGAACCTTATCCTCAAGTCTAGTTATGCAAATCATCTAGAGTTTAATAAGACATTAAACAAAAATTAATTATAAGGCTTGCTGGTTTAGAGTAATCGATAAATAGTAGAAGTCCTCGACGGCCTCCCTACTCTCGAAGGTAAAACTGATTAATAGCTTGGTTTATTCCCTACCCCCATTCTTCTTGTTAAAAATACCATACTTTTATTTCTTTAAATTTTTTGGTTATGTTTATTTTTGAGAGGAGAAAGAGAAAAAAAGAGAGCATGAGTTGAGGAGGGGCAGAGAGGGCGGCATGGAATCTGAAGCAGGCTCCAGGCTCTGAGCTGTCAGCACAGAGCCCGACAGGGGGCTCGAACTCACAAACCGTGAGATCATGACCTGAGCCGGTCAATCGCTTAATCAAACCCATTGAGCCACCCAGGCGCCCCTTAAAAAATTTTTAATGCTTATTTATTTGTGAGAGAGAGTGAGAGAGAAAGAAAGATCATACTTTTAAGTTGTGTTTATATATGTAGCATTTTTTTTTAACAAAATGAGATTATATTTTATACTTCTGGGTAGCTTTGTCTCACTATCAGTTAGATAGATAGTGGCTCCTATCAGTACATTAGGATTCACTTACATTCCTTATAATGGCTGCATACTACAGAAATTCATTTTGTTTTTCAGCCCCGTCTGGAAACGTATTTAAGTTGTTGTCAGTTTTTCAACGCTTCAAGCAACTTCTGGGAACATTATTATACAAATACATATTTTTGTTGCTGTGCGTGTAAAATAAATACCTAGGTGTGAAATTGCTGGATCCACAGGTATCAACATTGAACACTTTGATAGGTATTTGAGTTGTATCGATTTATACCTCCACCAAGAATGAGTGCAAATGCCTTGCTTCTCCACACCCTCATCTAATACTGAATATTGCCAGTCCTTTAAAGCTATCTTTCATGTGACACGTGGTACCTTATTTTAATTTGCTCTTAGTCATTTATCCAATGAACTTCCTGAATCCCTAGCTATTGATGAGCTGGGTACCAAGCCAGACACAGGGAATACAATTTTGTTTTGTTTTGTTTTCTACTTTAAAAAAAAATTTTTTTTTTTTTTTAATTTACATCCAAGTTGGGTAGCATATAGTGCAACAATGATTGCAGGAGTAGATTCCTCAATGCCGCTTACTCATTTAACCCATTCCCCCCCTCCCTTAATCCCTCAGATATCCTGTTTGTTCTCCATATTTGAGAGTCTCTTCTGTTCTGTCCACCTCCCTGTTTTTTTTTAAATTTTTTAATGTTTTTTTATTTTTGAAGGAGAGAGAGAGATAGAATGTGAGTGGGGGAGGGGCAGAGAGAGAGGGAGAGAGACAGAATCTGAAGCAGGCTCCAGGCTCTGAGCTGTCAGCACATAGCCCAATGCAGGACTTGAACTCAGAAACTTGAACTCAGATCATGACCTGAGCCGCAGTCAGATGCTCAACTGACTGAGCCACCCAGGCGCCCCTTACCTCCGTGTTTTTATATTATTTTTATATATAGATATGTATGGTCATCTGTTTAGTATCTTAAAGTTCTCATATGAGTGAAGTCATGTGATATTTTTCTTTCTCTGACTAATTTTGCTTAGCATAATACCCTCTAGTTCCATTCATGTAGTTGCAAATGGCAAGATTTCATTCTTTTTGATTGCCCAGTAATACTTCATTGTATATATATACCACATCTACTTTATCCATTCATCCATCCATGGACATTTGGGCCCTTTCTATACTTTGGCTATTGTTGATAGTGTTGCTATAAACATTGGGGTGTGTGTGCCCCTTTGAAACAGCACACCTGTATCCCTTGGAGAAATACCTAGTAGTGCCATTGCTGAGTCATAGGGTAGTTCTGTTTTTAATTTTTTGAGGAACCTCTATACTGTTTTCCAGAGTGGCCACACCAGCTTGCATTCCCACC